GTATTTATTCCAGAAGAACAAATCACTTTTCTTTGAAGGGTGTTGAACAAAGCATGAACAAATCACTTTTCTTTGAAGGGTGTTGAACAAAGCATGAACAAATCACTTTTCTTTGAAGGGTGTTGAACAACCCAGCTTACTCCTCATATACTATTGCAACTCATTTAAAAAAACTTAATTACTATTTAATGTAAGTGTTATTGTTCAAATTATCTTCAGTGCTTTGCAATATTTTTACTATTTCAAAAAGTGATGAAAATAAAAAAAAATACAATGCTTATTACTTTTTGAATATATTATTACCTAAAACATCCTAACTTCAGCTCTTAAACTTTCATCTTTTTTTTTTCAAACATTGTACTATTTAGCATATAAGCTTACTTGATGCTTCATCAACTTCATAATTACTGTATTCAAACTGTGAAGATGTGTCTAAACGATTTGCTTCAACATCACCTTGCTGGCAATGATCAGACCGTTGTCGTTTGAATGGTGGTTCATTTTGTTTTCCACTGTCTTTGCAACTCAAATGGAATAAAAAAAATAAGTTAAATCAATTACAATAAAACCAAGTATAAGATTTCACATAATTAAAAGAGAATACAATAATTTTATTTATCTTTAAAAAGAAGGTTCTTGTTTATTTCAAAAAATACAAAACTATTAAAGCTGAAAAAAAGAAATGTTTTACCACATATAACAAGCAGTGCAAAATTTTAACAATAAAACTTTTTCATCACAGGCTTCCAAACTGAAAGACACTGATATTGATTTAAAGCTGTTCTTCATGGGTGAATAAAACAAAACAACAAAAACCGAGTAGGGACTCTCTTCAAGAAATGTGATGTTAATGATGCAGTTTGCTTAGAAAATACTAAATGGGTTTATTTCATATTTATTTATTACAAAGCAAGTAGTTGGACTGGAACAAGTTAATTTCAAAAGAACTGTAAAACTTACAGTTCAGAATCATTCTTATTGTGAAACATGCGTGGCACATTTTCTGAAACAACTATTACTCAAAGTTAATATTAACATTGGTAAGTTACAATTTTATTCCTCCTTTGACACAAAATTACATTTCATATTATGTGTGCTCAAAGATGGAATAATATTTGAGACTAGAAAGTATTGATGCTTTTCTAATGTCATTAAACATAAATTTTGAACAAAATAAGTAGCAAAATACATTGTGTTGTATGTTGTGTCTTCTAGCCTACTATTATGCTAAAAGGAGCTTTATTTCTTTACACAAAATGACTGATAGGTCTACACCAGGATACTTTCACTTTACACTAAAATTTACTGTATCTAACAGAATGATATTGTCATGAATTCAACAAAGAAGGTGCAGAATAGTTATTTTGTGAGCTAAATATTTTCTCCTACAGTTTAATAACATGTTATTGAAGATTTGTTCTATGGGCTAAACATTTTCTCCTAGAACTCAACAACATGTTATTCAAGAGTTATTCTGTAGGCTAAAAATTTTCTACCACAGCTAAAAAAAAACACATTATTTATAGAATCTGTTATTATTTATATATAAAAATCTGTTCCGAGTTGTGATCTCAATTTGTTTTAAATAATTTTCACTCACACACACACACACACACACACTTACCTCTTCTTCATAATAGAGAGAACAGACTGGGGTGAGCGTAACAAAAGTGAAGTTCCTCGAAACTTCAGTTGCCCCACGGCACTTAAAAAGTCATTCAAGAACAACACACGATCTTTCTCAATTCCAAACACCCTAGAAATATGTAAAGCAGAAAAACTAATTTTTAAAATGAAGTATAATGAACATTGGTTGAAAAGTTATCAATCCACCCTGCTTGTAATGTATGTTGTGAACATGATAATAAAAACATCAATCCACCCAACCAGAGATAGAAACAATGAAATAAAATTACATTAACTCAAGGGAAAGCTATCAGGAAGTTTACATTCCCTCATGTAAAATTGAATTTTCTCACAAATTGTGTTTTTAATTTAATCCATGCAATATGTTCACTTTAATTGGTCATAACTAAAGGAATATGGATGAATACTGCATTCCTTATTGGGGGTTTGTTTGTTTCTTTGTTATGGATTTCGTGCAAAGCCACACAAGAGCTATCTACACTAGCCGTCCCTAATTTAGCAGTTTAAGATTAGAGAGAAGGCAGCTAGTAATCACCACCCACTGCCAACTCTTGGGATACTCTTTTACCAATAAATAGTGGGATTGACCATCACATTATATTGCCCCCATGGCTGAAAGGGTGAGCATGTTTGGTGTAATGGGGATTCGAACCCGCAACCCACAGATTGCGAGTTGAGCCTCCTTATTGGGAAAGCCAACTAAAAAGATGAAATTCCTCAAGCAAAGTTAAATTCCTTGACAATGCAGGAATGTAATATAAGACTACTTGTAGTTTTCCCAAACATAATGTTACAAATATCACTTAACTGTCTTTTTTTCCACAGCATATTTATAAATAGTTAAAAATATACCAGATTCATTGTTTACAGCATGTTTATAAATAGTTAAAAATATACCTGATTCATTGTTTACAGCATGTTTCATAATAGTTAAAAATATACCCGAATCGTTGTTTATAGCATATTTATAAATAGTTAAAAATATAGCCGATTCATTGTTTACAGCATATTTATAAATAGTTAAAAATATAGCCGATTCATTGTTTACAGCATGTTTCACAATGCATAAAAATATACTTACTCTGCATTGTTTACAGCATGTTTCATAATAGTTAAAAATATACCCGAATCGTTGTTTATAGCATATTTATAAATAGTTAAAAATATACCCGATTCATTGTTTACAGCATATTTATAAATAGTTAAAAATATAGCCGATTCATTGT